CACTTGGATGGGTGACCTAAATATTATATTGTACTCACGCTTTCGCTCATTTTTTCCGTTTTTCTTTATTGATTTAAAAAAAAAATAGAATACAGAATAGTGAAACTTTTCTTTTTTTAGTAACCTATTCTTGTCTATCCAAGGGAAGATTTGAAGCCTTATTTTCCTAGTTTAAGTTAGAGCTATTAATCTTAAACTCTTTCAGCATAGAATACTGCTTAGAAGCTAAATTACAAATTTGAGTAGACAAATAAGAAGATACTTTGCATCTTGAACTTTCTTGGTCAGTTTAAACACCCGGGTAATTCCTTATCCTGCACTGAACCTTGAATTTCAGCAATCAACGAAAAAAGAATATGCGTAGACATAAATTTCCGACACGTGATTCGCAGCCCCGCCCCCAATCAATCACTTTGATATATTAGACATTGATTGGCATCTGTCACTTGAATATAAATCAGACTTTACACGGGATCTCTGTATCATATGTCTACAAAAGACTCTTTGGTAGTGCCGTGAAGACCTTAGGGTACTATTGAACGCATTTTAAGACTGGGCTGCCACAGGCAACCCATTAAAATTCGATAATTGTCAAAACACCAAATTCGCATTGCGCATACACCTGTTTTGAAGACCATTTGCAAAAGTTTAGCCTCGTTTATAAGTCAGCTTTTCACAGATAACATTATAAGTCCGAAAGATTTCAAAACATTGGTATTGTTCATCTTACACATTCTTTAAATTAAGTTGACTTTTGCAAATTATTTGTATGCTTTGAAACAAGGCTAAATCTGTACATATGAGTCTGTAATCATAAAACACAGCGGAATTTACCAATGAGGAAAGGCTGGACTATTCGAGAACAACCCATTGTCACATTATACTCAGAAGAATAGCTACTTCGACAATACGGCGGCCATCTTGGATCGCAAGGCATCATGGGGTAAGCTTTGTTACAGTAATGACGTCGATTGATATTAACAGCTCACCACAAGAGAATACAATAAAAGATGAATTAAGACTGCACATGTTAGATCACAATTACCCTTAAAAGAAAGTCAAACACAGGAAACTATATATTTTCTGTCATCATTTGCTTTGTTTTGCCCCCTGGCGAGATGGCGGCCGTATCGTCGAAGTAGTCCACTAATTGAACATATTCTTGGGGTGCAACAACATGACAGCCGCCATGTTGGTTGATCTTGTCGTTAACCAACATGGCGCTATGACGTAACATATGCATCCCAAGAATAAACCTCTTCAGCTCGGCCGTAATGTTTTCCAATTTCACCACGTGTCCTTTCCTCGAGAATAAGTTCTTTGTGTAAGTTGTATCCATTTTCGTGTCTTTATATGCACAACCGTTAAACAAAGAAATGATACTCTAGGGAATGACAGGTGGTCTCAAATGGGAAAACATTACGCCTAAGTGGATTTGGGCCATCTGTGGCATCATAACAACCCTTGTGGGATGGATTTTCACCCTTGAATATTCAAGCTTACGCACCAAGCATATTTCTTGATCTAATATAATTAGATTTACAAATAGTTAATAAATTCCCTGTTGACGACTGAGTGCAAAATAAGGTCAAGTTGAATTATTAATTTAAAACCACACAAGCTCTTAAGCTTAATTAAAAACTAAGTTGTCTGATACTGTCAACAAATTAATGAAACAAGTCTGACCTCTGCTACAGGCTTAAAGTCAAGAGCAACAGACATGTAAGCTATGTTTACCTAGACTATTTCAAAAACTCTTTCGTTCGTCATTCGTTTATTTATCAGTTATTCAAGGAATGAAAAATATTTATTTTTCCATTTTTAACCTTAACCATTCGATTTTTCATGATTATTCGAAATTGAACCTGAGTTATTCGATTTTTCATGATTATTCGAAATTGAACCTGAGTTATTCGATTTTTCATGAT